GGGGCTCAGGTGGGCATCTGGAGGTGATGAGGGAGGGGGCTCAGGTGGGCATCTGGAAGTGATGAGGGAGGGGGCTCAGGTGATGAGCGAGGGGGCTCAGGTGGGCATCTGGAGGGGATGAGGGAAGGGCTCAGGTGGGGCATCTGGAGGTGATGAGGGTGAGGTGAGCCCTCATGAATGGAATTCCAATCTCTGAAACAAGGCTCAGAGAGCTGCCCTTCCACTATGTGAGGACCTGGTGAGGTCCTGCATCTGTGAACTGGGAAGCAGGCCCTCCTCAGACACCAAGTCTTCTACGCCATGATCATAGACCTCCCAATTTCAAGCACTATGAGGGGAAAAAATGGCTTTCCATTACAAACTACCTAGGTTGTGGTGTGGAGACATTAAGTAGTCACTGGACTTCCCAGAAAATGTGGAAGAATGAAGTGGGACAGACATTAACACTTTTTTTTCCACAGAGATACTGCAGAAATATTTAGATTTTTATGTAGACAATGAATGCTTTTAAAGTAAGAAAGGTTAAAATCAGTGAGCAGGTTGAGTGTGAAAAGATGAGTGTGTCACACAGTGACCGGAAGCAGAAGGGCAGTTTACCTAAACTGGCAACTATACTCTGACCATCTGGCTTGTGAAACATTTTACCACTTCATACCTGGATAGCAAAAGAAGTAACGTGTCCATTCACTCATATTTAAGTTAATTTGTAAGCACCAACCCAGGCACAAAAGCTTTGACCTACAGTCTGTCCTGCCTACAAGACATGTCAGGACAACGGTGGCACTGAACTTGTAGGAGTGACCAACTGATGTCTGATTTGACATAAGGCCTACTCTACAAGACAGAACCCATAACTGACATTGCTTGGGTAACCAAGAACCAGAGACTAGAGAGCCCAGAGACCGTGGGTAAGACCAAATATTATTGATCTTTTTTTTAAAAAAAGGTATCAAAAATAAAATGGCCCCTATTGATATTCTGCAATACCCATAGAAAGAGCAGTTCCTTATTTAATCATTAGAGAAGCTTCCTCTGGCAGCAGATGCGAAAAGATGCAGAGACTCACAGCCAGACATCACATGGAAAGAGAGTCTCTCCCCTCAGAGCTCAGGGAACCCTCAGAAGAGGAGTCAGAAAGAATGTAAGAACCTGAGTGGAATAGAAGAGAGCAGGGGAACAAGGCCCTGTGTAACAACTAAACAAGGCTCATATGAACTCACAGAGGCTGAAGCAGCAAGCACACGGTCTACAGGCAACTACACTAGGTCTTTTGTGAAAATATTAGAGCTTCTAGCTTGGTGTCTTTATGGGACGCCAGAATGTGAGATGTGAGAATAAGTGGGTCTCAGACTCTTGTGCCTTCTCTCGGGGCTCTTTTCCTTCTCTTGGGTTCTCTTGGGTTGCCTTTCCCAGCCTTGATAGGCTAGTTTTTGTCTTATCTTATTATATTTTATATTGTCATGTTTGGTTGTTATCTCTTAGAAGCCTGTTCTTTGCTAGTGAGAGACAGAAAGGGAATGCATCCATAGGGGAGGGGAGGTGGGAACGGGAAGAAGTAGAGGGAGAGGAAACTATAGTCAGGATATAATCTATGAGAAAAGAATTTATTTTTAATAAAAGGAAAAAATGAGAATAAATTTTAAAAAGATTAAAAACGATTCCTTATATTTTCCATAAAGTGGGCAGTTAGGAATTGCTCTCAAGTTCAAGAGGATCAAAGGCCTCAACATAAATCCGGACACAATGAACCTGATAGAAGAGAGAGTGGAAAAAAGTCTTGACTGCAGCGGCCCAGGAAACCACCAAGAGCACAGGCACTGAGATCAACAGTTAATAAATAGGACCACATGAAACCGAAAAGCTTCTGTAAGGCAGAGGACACCATCAACAGGACAAAATGACTGTCTACAGAATGGGAAAAGATCTTCATCAACCCTACACCTGACAGAGGGCTGATTTCCAAAACATATATAAAAAACTCAAGAAACTATATATCAACAAACAAACAATCCAATTAAAAATGGGGTACAAATCTAAACATAGAATTCTCAACAGAGGAAACTCAAATGGGTGAAAGGCACTTAAGGAACTGCTCAATATCCTTAGCCACCAGGAAAATGTAAATCAAAGCAAGTCTGAGATTCTATCTTATACCTGTCAGAAGGGTTAAGATCAAAAATACAAGCGACAGCTCATACTGGAGAGGACGTGGAGCAAGGAAAACACTCCTCCATTGGGAGTACAAACATGTTCAGCCACTTTGGAAGTCAGTGTGGCAGTTCCTGGGAATCAATTTACAAGACCCAGCTATACCACTCTTGGACATATACACAAAATATGCTCAATCATAACACAAGAACACTTGCTTAGTTATGTTCATAGCAGCTTTATTTGTAATAGCCAGAACCTAGAAACAACCTAGATATCCCTCCACTGAGGAACGGATAAAGAAAATGTGGTACATTTACACAATGACGTATTACTCCGCTATAACAAACAAATACACACACACAAAAATTGAAGGCAAATAGATGGAACTAGAAATAATCATCCTGAGTGAGGTAACCCAGACCAATAAAGACAAACATGGTACGTACTCACTCATAAATGGATGCTAGCAGTAAAACAAAAGATAACTATGATACAATCCACAGACCAGAGAGACGAGGTAACAAGGAGAGTTCATTGTGGGACACCCGGATTTCCCTGGGACGGCGGAAATAGAAGAGATTTTGTGAAGGGACTGAGGGCGAGTGGGGATGGGAACGTGAGTGATCAGCTTGGTGGGGGCAGAACGGAGGAGCGTGCTGAGGGGGTGCATTTCAGAGTTGTGTTGAAGTCTAGCACAAAGAAATCTCCCAGGAATCTCTTATGGGACTCCTAATAGTGGGGACAGTGGCCATCTCCAACTCTTCTGGGACCCTACTTCTCATACTGGGTTGCCTTGCCCAATCTTCTTATATGGGGCAGTACTTAGTCTTACTGCAGTTTGATAGGCCATGTTTTATTAATACTCATAGGAGACCTGCCCTTTCCTGGATGGAGATGGAAGAGGAGGGGATTGGGGATTGGGAAGGGGAATAGGGGAAAGGGACTGGTGGGAAATGGGGGGGCTGTAGCTGGGATGTAAAATAAATAGATGAAAAAAAAAAGAACTGTCCTTACAGATAACTTTGCCTACAAACACATCTAATAAAATGTGTTTTTACTCCTTTAAATATTTCAAGTTAAACAGCTGTACGCACAATTATAAATAGACTCTGACCACCATTTCCCAATTCCAGCAGAAAAATGAAGAAAGTGTATGAGTTTTGCCTTTGATCCACCAGATGGCAGTGTTGCTTATAAACAGTAATTTGACTAACTTCCTTTTGGACGCTTTCTTTTTAGCTTTATAAACATTTCCCTTATTACATGTAATCCATCTTTAGTGAAAAAGCTAGAAAATACTAATAATCAAAGATCAAAGAATGTCTAGTAGCCCCATCCTCAGTAACAATTTTTATGTGCTTTTCCCGTGCTTATACAGACTTGCATTTGCTACGCAGTCTGTCCGCGGTCCCTTGTCTACTTAACAGCACACACAAGGACCTGAGCTTCACAGTACAGCATACGTGCTTGTCTCACGATCTATTAGTATGTGAAGACAGCACACACGAATTTTCTTTCTTTCAGCCCCTTGCCAAAGGACGCTTCACTTCTTTCCACACTGATGGCTGGTGGTTAGAGTCTAAGTGCTCTATTAGAGAAAATGATTTGTAAGACTACAAGTCTGTGCATGGAAAGTATATAAACACAAAGAGAAAGCATTTATCATCAATCCAGGATAATCACTATTAACAGTTTAACTTGTCTTTCTTACTTATCTATTGCCGTTACCTGTTGCTCCATTTATCATTACTGTAAACATTTTCCCTGTCATTAAAATGTCCAGGCCCTGATAGGTGTTTTCCTTGAATTTACACATCCTCTATAAGCATAAGGACACAAGGGTCCCTGCTTTATGAGCCTGCAAATCTAAGGCCTTCTACTGGTTAGCGGTCAATTTTATTCTTAAATCCCAATAGTGCGGGCCACATGGTTTAAGAGCCCATGCTATTTGTCTTCGGCTGAGGTAGTTATCCATAGGCTCAGGAGACAGACTGAGCATGGGCATTAACACTCCCTTGAGGAGATGCATATAAACTCTTTCCCTGCTTTCTCCTTCAGGAATAGGCATGGGACATCTTCCCAGTACCAATGAGAACCACAGGTAACCAGGAACTGTAAAAGAATGTGGAGACAGCAGCTTGACAGAGGAAGACTTGAGAGCCCGAGGCAGGCAGATCAGAAGGTCAGGGTTTGTCTGGTGTGGTAGTTTGAATGAGAATGCTCCCCAACAGGCCCATACATTTGAATGTTTGTTCACCAGTGAATGGCCTTATCTGAAAGGACTGGAAATATTAGATGTGTAGCCTTGTTGAATCAGGTGTGATCTTGTTGGAGGAAGGATGCTATTGGAGGTTTCAAAAGCTCATGCCAGGCCCAGGGTCTCTTTCTGCTTTTAGATCAGGATGAAGCTCTCAGTTACTTCTCCAGCAGTAGGCCTCATGCCACACTCTGCATCATGATGATAATGGACCACACCTCTGAAACTGTAAGCCAGCCCTTAATTAAATGTTTTCCTTTATAAGAGTTGCTGTGGGTCATGGTGTCTCTTCACAGCAATAAAATAGTGACACCTGAACTACAAGAGTGACTCCAAAGCCACCGTGGACAGCTTAATGAGACCTTGTCTCTAAGAATAAAAGTAAAATTTTTAAGAAGTATATTAAAATGAAAGCTAGAGGCCATGGCTCAGTTATAGAGCACTGGCCTAGCCACAAAAAGCCTTGGGTTTCATTCCCAGAATTAACAAAAAATGGGAGAAGAGGAGGAAGGGAAGCAAAAGGAGAAGGAGTGGGAAGGTAAAAGGGTAGAACAGGAAAAGCAGGAGAAAGAAGAAAAGAATATTAAACTCTAACCATAAGATCTACAAGCCACACAGCATTTGAGCCTCTACCACTGGAACTGCCTTTCTTTCTATGCCCTTGTTTCTTTACCTTTCAACCAGAGGACTTGTTCCCTTGGGGTGTGATGCTAATGTCACTTTTGTGTGACATATTGAAAATTAATAATTGCTGTGGATTATGCTCATTGGTAATAAAAAGCTGATTGGCCAGTAGCTGGGCAGGGAGAGATTGAGCACAACAGCCAGACTAGGAGAATTCTGAGAAGAGGAAGGGTAGAGCCAGAGTCGCCAGCCAGGCACAGAGGAAGCAGGAGAGGAACATGCCATGCCAATAAAGAAAACACAAAGTGGCAGAGTGTACATAAGGAATATGGGTTAACTTAAAATGTAAGAGCTAGTTAGTAACAAACCTGAGCTATTGACTGAGCATTTATAATTCATATTCAGCCTCTGAGTCAGTTATCTGGAATCTGGTGGTCGGGACAGGAAACATCCATTTACAAATAATTCGCTCACATTTTGACATTTACAAATAATCAGCTTCTCATTGTGACCAAGACACCACTGCATGGGCTTTCCTCGTTTGCTGAACTCATACTAACCTGCACACTCATCACCTCCAACCACGATCCTACAGTCTTAGTCAAGGAGTAGATTGACCTGGCATGTAACTTTACACTGTTGGTCATAAACTACTGCCCTGTGTTTCTTCCTGAAATTACGAGAGGTAAGGAACTACTTCCTAACAGCCGTGAGCTATGAAAGACGAAGTCATAATTCTATTGCATAGCTGAGAGGAGTTAGCCTTGATGCACAAGGGCTAGGAGCCCACATATCACACCCTACCCCTGAAAAGAGAATAGAACAAAGAGTGAACATCTGGAGCTGAAATCTACCTTTACCTTCCCCCTCTATTCCTTTCCCATGAAATGACCCACTCAGCATGCCACCAACCAAAAAAACTGTAAAGGTTACAATAGAAGCAAAAGTTGAGAGGACAGGAGAGAGGTGGGGGAAGGGAGGGAAGGACAGAGGGAGAGAGGACACCATATTAACATAAGTGCCTATGCTAAATATGTAAACTTTAAAAAGAGAAAAACAGGATTTCTTCCAGGCACGCTCAACAATCACACAACAATATCATCTTCTGTAGAGTATAAACTACTAAAAATAAGTGTGGTAACATCCAATACTGATAAGCATATAGAGGCTAAGCATTACACTATGTGGATGGTAGAGGGCTGTTATAGTCTACTTCGGAACATAATTTGATGGTATTTATTGAAACTTTCAGTGCACATGTATGTTGGCTTTGGATTGACCTTTGAGTTCTCCATTCTACTAAAACAAATTCATCAGTATATAAAGTTTCATACACATGGGTGTCAAGTGTGGCATTTCATATCAGCTCAGGAAAAAAGGGAGGAAGTTGGGATGAGGGAGGAGGAGAGAAAATGAAATATGGATGTCCATCAATAGAGACTGATTGAATAAATTACCCCTGCTATAGAAAGTTATACAGCTATTCAAGATTCTAGTAAGTTAAACGTTGTAGATTAAGGCATACTGCACTGCTCTCCTTTAAACAAACAGTAAAAACAAATAAACCAAAGCCATATGTGTATGTATAAATTTGTACCTGAAAGAGAAAGAACTTGCATTAACTCTTCTATGTTGATTATTCCATGGGAATGAAAATACACATTGATAAAGAGGAAATCCATACATTTTAACCTGTTCTCTCAAGATTCCATTTGTAACCATTATGTATTACTGCCTAATTTGAAAATACAATCAATCAATGAAGACAGGAAGGAAGGAAGGAAGGAAGGAAGGAAGGAAGGAAGGAAGGAAGGAAGGAAGGAAGGAGACAGAAAGGAAGAAAGAAAAAGAACTGAAGTGACTCTTTCAGACAACTTCAAATCTGAATGTTCTTCTACCCAGAAGGCAATCCTAGACAGAAAGGAGCCTTCTCTTGGGATTTCCCACATGAAAACACACTGTACTCCTTTTTGGAAAAAAAAAATGTGAGTAGTTTTCTCTTCCTGTGTCACCCTAATAGCCATAATAATGAAAAAACATTCTATGACACTGGAAACACTGTCACCAGACCGAGATCCAAGACAATTTTCTCTAAGATTCAATGACGTATGGTAGCAATGAGGAAGAAGGAGAGATCTACAGCACCCCCAGCAATCCCTACTGCCTACCCTGGGGCATTAACCAGCAAACATTTGTCAAACATGGGGCCAAGAGTCAAACACACACACGCACATGCATGCACCACACACGCACATGTTCTGCAGGCATGTACTCAGTACGGCCCTGTCCCATGTGTTGGAAATTTAAAAAAGAATACTAGCAAAAATATCTTAAGCAACCCATAAATACAAAAAAAAATACTAACTACATAAATTACAATATAGCAAAAAAATAGGATATTATATAACTACTAAAAATACATTCTTGAAGAATATTTAATGATAAGGGAAGAGTAAAATGTACTGTTTATCTAAAACTTCAGGTTACAACTGTGTCAACACGATAGTTGTAGCTTTTTAAAGTGCATGCACACTTGTACTTGATTTTAGAAAAAATGAAAACATATAGCACAATATATCAATGTTCTCTGTGATGGGTGAAATCACAAATATGTGTGTCTGTCTGCTTGTTTGTTAGCTCAGGCCTGGAACTCTATGTAAACAAGGCTGATCTCGAGCCCACCATTCTTTAGCCTCAGTCCCCCGTGTGCCAGGATTACAGATGTGAACCCCCATGCCTTGTTTACATTTCTCATTTTTTACATTTTCTATCTTTTCTAGATTTTCTCCAGTTAAATGTGTAATATCTGACAGTTGTATGTATAGCTACAATGCATGGCTTTATTTTTATTATACTTATCTATTCGGAGTGTCATGAGTAAGGTCAGAGGAATCGATTCTCTCCTACTGTGTGGGTTCTGGAGAAAACTTCCCTACCCAAGCCACTTAGGCTCCTGGGTTTGGACCAGTTCTAAATCATCCTGGTCCTTTATTCCTACTTTCTTGGCAAAGTTTCTACCAAGAGAACAAACAGTGAAGGGGGTGGATACTAAATTCACTACATGTTAGGGACACAGAACTGTGGGCGTCACTGATTCTCACTGCACCCATCTCCCCATGCTGCTGCCAAACCCCCCCCCCCCCCCAGCTCCTATAACACAAAAGGGGTTGGTACTTGCCTTTGATTAGCCGCTCCGGCCTTGTCCCTGGCAAAGTCCACATTGCCTGTGCCAAGTGCCCAAAGACAGTGGCATCAAGAGTGGAAAGCTTGGGTCCCATGATGTACTTCTTGTCACCTGCCGCAAATGGAATAGAAAGGTCACCGGATTAGCCGACGCGGTCTAATGTGATCACAAGGGCATTAAGTACATTCTCCTTATGCAGTTGTTTAACTGTGCACCAAAAACTTTTATAAGGTCAAAACACAAGCATGCCCTTGACAAAAAAAAAAATAAAAAACAAAAATGAACAAATGTAACTCCCAAGGTAGCAAAGCAGGGAAGCATGCTCACGTACACAAAGGAAAATAAGGATGAGCCCAGAAAGGGGAATAATTCATCAACAATTAAATTCCAGAGAACCTCTGTCTCAACTCTAGTAATAAAAATATGTGATGCTTACCAAAACCCAAGAAGTTTACTAGAACCATCTCAAAAGTAATTTACACCACGCACCCAAGACCTCGATATTTATAAGACTAAATCAATACATTTGCTTAGAAATGAACAGAAAACGCAGGCTAATGAGTTTGAAGCAAGGTTATCCATGTCACTCCCATGAACAGGGCAACTATTCTGCACAGAGTGCCAGCTTCCCTGGGAAACCTCAACTACAGAGACGATACAAGGTCACAGGTTCAACCCTGGCATCAGGACCTAGGCTCACATAACGGTCCTTGTGTCTCTGCTTATCCAACACTGATGTTAACTAAGTTCAGGTCTATTACATTTGGCTAAAAAGAACTGCCCACGTCATGTTTTGGGCTGTTGCTAGATACTGTATAGCATAAACAGGAACTTCTTGCAGCAGACTGAGACCAACAGAAAGTCACAGTCAGTCAAAATGTAGAGAACAGTTGATCACGGGATGTCCAGGCCCAGTTGATTTGATATATCTACAATACAACTCCTATACCTAAAGCTCAGGGGGCATAATAGAAGAGGGGACAAAAGTATTTTAAGAGCCAGAGGACCAGAACATCTGCCTTTAGACATGAGTCACAAAACCCCACCCCAAGATGAAGAGCTATAGGCAATTAACACTTGCTGAGCAGAGGAGAATTAGTCTTCCTCAGGGCAAAGCCCCCTAGTTGGTTACCCAATACCAGTGGTCAGGCCTAGAAACATACAAATATAACCCACACTAAATAGACTCAGCAGGTTTTATGTGCTTATTCATTTGTATTTGTAACAATGATAATGGAAGTAAAAGAGGCCATCTATTTGAGAGGGAATGGGGTATGAGGGCTAGGGAGAAGCTGGAGAGAGGAAATGTGGGTAATTATCATTCACATATGTGAAAGATTTAATTAATCTAATGGAGGCATAGACAGAAAGTATTTTTGTGAGTTTGAGGTCTACACAGTGAATTTCACGCCAACCAGGGGAAAATAATGAGACCCTGTCTCAAGAAACGAGAAACAGAGGGAAAGGGAGGAAGGGAGAGAATGGGGGGGGAGAAAAGGAGGAGAGAAAAGTGGAGGAGGAAGAGAATGGAGGAAGGAGAGGGGGAGAGAACATCTATTATGTATTCCGTAGGAACCAAGGAATACCCTATGCTAGGACAATACCTGAGTTTAGCCAAATTATCTTTTCTGAGGAAGAAAGTCAAGTTTTCCTTGTTAGAGCCCTTGGTGGTTCTCATTGTCCCCTGATCTCTCTTATTTCTGTCTTACCTCAGAATCTAAGCAAATTAGTCAAATAATAGGAAAGTAGTGATATATTACCCGGGCAAGAAGGTCATCATTCAATCTTAGGACTGCAATGTCTCTGATTTTTAACTTTAATAGAGTTCTGTGTACATGTATGTGTGTGTGTGTGTGTGTGTGTGTGTGTGTGTGTGTGTGTACACAAGCATCTGCTACAGCAGGTATGTAGAGGTCATGGCGACAGAACTCAGGTTCTCACCCTAGTGTGACAATGCTTCCCCACTGAGCTACCTCCCAGGCCAGTTATTTTCTGATGGTAGATCTTGCTCTCTCCATGCCTAAGTTACTGCTCTATTTACATAGGAAATGTCGGTGGCTGAGAAATACTTCTCAGGACTCTTATGCCACTCTGCTAGGGCAGGAGACATCAGCAGATGATCCGAGAATCCCTCCTTGGGATTGTGTCAGGGCTCCTCCCAGTCACAGTCCGAATCAGGCCAGCCCATGTGGACACCTTAAAGGTAGTAAGAACAAAGTCACATAAAACCTCCAGAGAAAGTAAGACTTTAAAAAAAAAGGAGGATGAGGGAAGAAGGAGGAAAAGGAGAAGGAGGAGGAGAAAGAGGAAGAAGAGGAGGAGGCGGAGAAGGAGGAGGAGGAGGAGGAGGAGGAGGAGGAGGAGGAGGAG